AATACAATAAAAATTAAACCAAGATTTAGATTAGAATAATTATCATTTTGATCCATACACTGGTAATGTCTGACTGGGCCTCGTGCCACTTTATGTTCAACAAATGAGGCCCCGAAGTCAAAAAGGTTAAGAACCCCTGTTTTAGGTCGTACTGATTATTGTGTTGTCCCCCTCTGCCCACATCGTACCCAACTCTGTCCTACTTTGTACCCATCTTAATCTGCTGGAGTACTCTTTAGAAATAAAGGCAGGCCAATCTGGGACACATTTTAACAATTTTTTTATTATTATCTGTGTGGTTTTTAGACCTCTGACACATGAGGACATACTGGACGTTATACAGAAACCTGGAATTTGAAGCCTAAAACCTCAGATTATTTTTTCAAATTTTCTTTTTATTGTAGCAAGACATAAATTTGAAAAAAAAATGTTTGTAAATACGCTGCATCACTTTAACACAATTTCATAAAAGAAGCAGAAAAGAACCCACTTACTTTCGCCATCCCAGCTCTGTGTGCTCCTTGGGACTCCATGTAGGCAACATACCGGACAAAATCCTTGAACTCTTCTTTGGAGGGAGTAAATGTCATTACCCTGGGCCCCACGCTCTGGGCTGGTGTGTCTGTGGTCATCTTGGGACTGTAACTACAGCACCAACTGTATGTGGGACAAAATACGGTCACATCAGGCTCTGAATGTGAATTTAGCGAACTAATCAGCCGTGTGTTGAGCAGAATCAGACACGTCAAATATATCATAATCCAACCCAATCCATTGCAATTTTATTTGTAAAGCACTTTTTGCACCATAGTAGACCAAAGTGCTGTACAGAATAAGCACTGCAACACAGCTCATACAAAAACAAACTCAATCACAATTAAAATAGGAAAAAAAAACCACAGAAAAATAAAAGCAGGAAATAAAACACAAAGTAAAAACAAGGAATAAAAACAATAACATGCCTAAAACCTAATTTAAAATCTAGAATAAAAACAAAAAAATTTCTCCAAAAAATAAAATCCAGTATAAATGAACAACACAACCCCTCACACAGTGTCAAAAGCCAAAGTAAACAAGTGGGTTTTAAGATGAGTTTTAAAAACAGCCAATGAAGAGGACTGGCTAAATTGGAGAGGTAGCTCGTTCCAAAGTTTAGGAGCCGCTGCAGTAAAAGATCGATGCCCCTTGACTCAAGAGTCGAGTTTAAGTCTGGTTTTAGGGACCCTCAGGAGCAGCTGATCAGCTGATCTGAGGGAGCGGGAGGGATTATAGGGGTGCAGCAGATCAGACAAGTATAGTGGGGTTAAGGCCATTCAAAGATTTAAAAACAAATAAAAGTATTTTAAAATGGATCCTAAAAGGCACAGGCAACCAGTGGAGTAAAATGGGAGAAATGTGTTCATATTTACATGTGCCAGTTAAAAGCCTCGCTGCAGTCTCTGCAGTCGGGCGATGGAGGACCCACTAACCCCCAGATAAATACCATCATTAATGACACAAAAACTGAGTGTTATCACTTGAACAGTTTTTTCTGGGTGATCTACAAAGGTCTACTGTACGTTTTTATTGTTATTGTTATTGTTATTGTCAGTATCAGAAGAGGAGTTTGGAGCAGATCTGCATAGAGGTGCTGGTGGAGAGCTCAGGGCAGACAGCCTGTATCTCCTGCCCTTACTTATTCAAAGGTTTGAATTTTGTCAATTCATCAAGTCTGATAGACAGTGGTGGAGAAAGTACTCAAACACTGTACTTAAGTAAAAGTACAGATACTTAATGTAAAATGTAGTGAAGTAAAAGTCGAAAGTACCCATGGTTAAAACTACCTAAGTAAAGTACAGATACATGAAAATGTACTTAAGTTCAGTAATAAAGTACTTGTACTTTGTTACATCCTACCACTGCTGATAGTAAAGGCATTGAGTTGCTGCCATCTGATTGACAGATTAGCTATTTGTGTCAACAAGCAACTAAAGAGGTGAATGTATTTACGTTTCAACATTTTGGTGATGAAAATAAGAGATGTGCTGACAGAATATGGTTGGAGCATGAACTAAAAATCTGTGTTTGCTCCTTCAGAATAATCCAGCAGCTCCTGTTGGAGCTACTCAAACTGATGCCATCATGACTATCAGAGTAGGAAAGAAGCGAAGATGATAAATGTAAATCTGTTTACTTTTACTATGTTTGATATAAATTCAGATTCGCATAATGTCAACCTGCTAGCTGAGAAAAATGTATTTTAATAGGAGATGACCCTGTCAGGTAGGACTTTAGTGGTTGGAACCAAGACTGCAGCTGAGCAAAAACAAAAACAAACAAAACAAAACAAAAAGCCATGAAGTTGTTGATCAGTGTGACCACACATCTGATTTTCCGCTCCGAACCTCTTGGCCCTGCAGCGGAGCCACGGTCCGCTAGCTGACAAGCTAACAACATGAAGATTAGTCAAGTTCTGTCAACAACCAACAACTGCAAACATCCCATCAGCAACGCCTGCACCTTATCCGAGAAGTTCTGCCCGAAGTTAAAGAAAGATCGTAGAAGTTTAGTCTGTGTCGGGACCCAGCGATCTGACAGTTTCCTCTGGTCTCAGCTAACCAACAACTAGCAAACACCGACTGTCACTGAGCGGTGGTCCGGTCGGAACAAACCTAAACTTGGTCCTGTCTTCTTACTGGGATGTTCTTTATCAAGCGGAATACGTGAACTCACATTCTGTGAAGTCTGTAGCGGGGGTTTTCATCCAATTGTAAGAAACAGAGCAGAAACACACAACATCGCTGCGGTTAGACACGGTCCTCCATGATTATTTTATTTTATTTTCCCCCTGACGCATGCGCATTATCTATTTGTGTTTGTTTATGGGATTCTCCGTAGCCAATCAAAACACAATAATATTGTAGACCACGCCTCCTCCGGTTTAGTTGGAGGAGGCTCATGAGAGTGGGGCGGAGCCAAAAACTCTGCTCCCAGACAATTTTTAAATTTCTAAATCAAAATGCAATTCTATCTTTATATCTGACCTTAAGATTTTTTGATAATGAGCAGAGTCTTTGCCAAGGCTGAGTTTATAAAAGATCAGACTAATAATTCTTATATATA